CCAGATCTGCCCTCGACTGTGTCGAGCAATAACCCCCACTCTTTGAGAGGAGGCTGCTTCGCCACATGGGGATGAATCCAGGAAGATGCCAGAAGGAGCATCATCGGGCAAGAGAACCTCGAGAGTATCCTCCAGGCTTCTCCTCGAGCAAGACTGATCCTCCCATACGGCCTCATGGCTGGCGGGGATCCTGCGCGATGGATAGAAGTAACCCACATGCATCCTCCTCGTATGACTGACTATCAACGCCTCAAAATATCACGGAGTCCACTTGACCCCGAAAAGACCGCATCCATATCCTTCTGGTCATGCGGAGGAATTCATCCAAGTAGGGGACCACGTGCTGGTCCCCACTACTCACGTAGAACCTAACAATCTCCACTTTGGGCCGACTTGCCCAACCCAATGAGGGGACCTTGGCCCAACGCTGAGGGCTATAAATACCCTCTCACTTGAGAGGGTCAGGTATTGATCATTTCTTACTCACTCTTACTTGCTTGCATCATTCTGAATCTCACTTTGGCATTAGAGTGTCTTGCAGGTATCTCCCACCTCACTTTCAACTTCTGCTCGATGTAAGCTGTGAGGGTCCATTCTGATCAGATACGCTCAGATACAAATGATCATTTTTGCATAGAGGTATAAATGGTCACATTAACTTTTGAACATATAGTCAACCTTGTTGTCTTGGATATAAATAATCATTTTTTGGGAATAGATGGTCATTTTTTCTACTTAGTATAAATGATCATTAATCTTATTGACTTTGGTGGATACTATAATTTCTTAGCTTATAGTATAGATGATCATTCTCTTTCTTTTAAGAGTTAGATAATGATACCTCGTTTAAGTATAAATGACCATTTTCTTTGTAGACAATCATGTCTTTATTCCTAGTAGATAATTTCAAATAAAATACACATGAAAACAAAAATATTTTAGATTGTCAATTGTTTTTAAATATATTATTATCATTAAAATCCTTCAAATAAAAGTTGTTATTCTAAAAATATTAATATTTCTCTCTTTTTTCTTCTTCAAATTTTCTTATTTAAAAGTTCTGAATTCTCATCTCTTTTAACCTAGCAACTAGATAAATATTTAAGCATCAATATTTAATTACGTGTTAATAAAATATTAAATTTATTAAATATTTGATTAATAACTTATATTTCAATTAATACAAATAAAATAAAATAAAATAGTATGAGTAGGGGAAGACCTGTTTTTATAGAATATCTTAAAACTTTTAATTTAATTGAATAAAATGGTAATAGTGGTTTTGATTTTGGGTTGTAATTCAAATAATTTTCTTGTATTCTTTATGTAGCTAACGATAAATAGTTGTCCAGTCTTATTTTGTAAAGTTATCAAGCACAAATATTTATCTCGTGTCTTATTTATATTATCAATGTTAAATATTTCTTGTGTTTATTTTACATTTATCCATTAAAAATATTTGTCCAATATTTTTTAATGTAACATGACAAATGTGTATTCCATATTCTTTTTATATTTATTTGTTAAAATATTTGTCTCTTGTTTTTCATATATCTATGATAAATATTTATGTCGGTATTTTGTATAATAGACAATGACATATATTTAACTTATACTTTTTTATATATCAACAATATATTTTGTCGGGTATATTTTTTCTTTAGTGACAAACATATGTTCCATATTTTTTATATATTAGTGATAAATATTTATCTCCTAATTTTAATATAATTATCAATAACAAATATTTATTTCATATTTTTTATATTAACCAATGATAATTACTTATTGCGTATTTTATTTTGATGGATCAAACACATTCGAGTGAAATTTATTTATGTAAAATGACTTTTAAGTGTTTAAATGAACTAATGAGTGTTTTAAATAAAATAAAAAAGTAAAATATTTAGAAGCAAAGCAAAATATGTTGAATGCCAAAAATAAATAAATATTAGGTGTCACAATTAACTAGAATACTACTACTTCAGTTTCCCATGTCAATACTTGATTTTGGCCCCCCACATTACTGGACCCCTCTCAATAGTAGTAAATTTCGAAGATCCAGGTAAACCTGATCAGTTTTTATTTCATTTTGAACCAATTTTATATTTGCTGCATTTTGTGAACTATATAGATATATATATTCAATAATTGCATGATCAATGATTTGTATATAAACCTAAGAAAAGTTCAATCTCTTGAATACATGATATTTCTTTTTGTTTGACATGCTGTTTTTATTTATAATAATAATCATGCATACGTAAAAATAAAAATGATAATTAAAATGGTGATACGTAACTAGCAGTTCTGCCTGTGGAGTTATTTTATATTGTACAATTTGGTTCAGCAATTTATCATCTCACACTGCATCTGTTGATCACACATATATATGTCATTAATACCTGAACAATGTTTATTGTTGGTAGTAATGTGTGCATGAGTTGTTATAGTAATGACCTTCTTCCTGCTTTCAAAGCAATTAATTCAAATATCTTCAAATTCTAATATTTAAATTTGGATTTTTTCACATAAATAATCTCTCCCCCCATAAAATCCTGAAGAATCCAACTTTAATTTTTCTTATCTACTAGTACTACCAAACTGTCCCATATTTAATCAAGTTTTTTAAAATTATTAAGAACGTAATAATTACCTAACATATGACATCATAAGCACACTTGTTTTTCTCCTCTTTTTAGATTTTATTTTTAAACTCCAAAACATCTATGTTAATGCTTTAGTGTATTTTCCGAAAAATAAGGAGTCATTGAGTATTTGCTTAGAGGTTAATTAAAATTTCAAGCAGTTGAAACTATGGCAAACTGTTTGTTTTAACCACTTTGATGATGAATCCAGAAAGTTCTTGATAGTAGAATGATAGGAAATGTTGCAAGTATTATACCAAAAGGTTTCAAAATTAAATGTGGATTTATATCTTTGTAGATATCGTCGTCGGTCAATTTTGATTATGACGACCGATGTAGCAATTTTAAAGATTATAATTCTTTAAAACACGAAAGAGAATTAATTTTAACTGTCAAGTAAATTTTTTAATGACGACACATATTCAGAAGATATTTTAACCTTATTAGACAGAAAATTCAAGTGCTAAGCCATCGTTGTTTCAAGTCAAGGAACTTTAAGATCTTAAATTCTTTAACAACAAATTTCAATACATCCAATCAACCCAACAACAGCAACAATTGAACCCCTAATTTTTATAACAAATACTATACACCAGCCCCTATAATTCATACTTATACATGCAACCAATGACGAATCCAAAAATTTATTGAAGTGGGGGCAAAATTTTATGTTAAAATGATAAAATATTATTTTTAGTTTCGTATATTAATGTCAAAGTTTATTTTGGTCTTTTAATTTAAAAAAAGGTTCATAGTAATTTTTTAACTCTTCAAAACGCTTTATTTTAATTCTTTTTATCTAATTAACGACGAATTTAATGATCGATTTTTGAGTTTTTCCGTCAATAATTAAACAAAAAAGAATAAAGCATTTTTAAGAGTCAAATAACTAATATAAAATTTTTTTTAAATAAAAGATCAAAATAAACATTAACGTTAACAAACATACTTAAAAATGATATTTTGCATATTATTTTTGTCAACTTGTTTGATAGCCAAAATATTCTCCTTTAAAGTAAATAAAATGCCCGAGATAAAATTTGTGACTAAACAAGCACAAATTATTAGTTCATACTACTACCAACTGAAATATACTCTGTATCAATTTATAAATGAAAAACTAATAACATAACTATTGTTAAGTAAAAAGTTATTAACTGCAAAAAAAAAAATTATACTATTTTATATCTTAAATATAGATGATACTAAAATATCCACTAATTGTATATTTTACATACCTTTTTATATCATAATTTAATTATTTATTCATATTACCAAACAATTGTTTACACTGTTGTATATTTAATTTTTACAAATAAAACAACTCAATATTTTTAAGGAGAGGTTGGTTCTTAAATTTTAATATTAACAAATATAGAACTAGAACTATGTAATAGGTTATAATAGAATAAACTAGTTGGTATAAGCTAGTGGAGCATGTGCCCCCAATGTCTTTATGGGTAAATATGTCCACTATTTAAGAGTACTGTGTTTTAATTTTTAAATAAAAAATATTATATCTCATTTTTTTTAAAAACCGAGAGAACATAGCTCTAAAAGAACTCGATTTGATATACGGGTTACTGTATTTTATATTTTCTTCAATTATTTAATTAGTATTTCTAACTTAACACCTTTTCAAATTTCATTTTTATTTATTATTTTTTATTAGTATTTATCTTGACTATATAGTCCAACTGAGAGGTAATATATTTTGCATTAATAATTTTATAATATTATTTTTAAAATTTTATTTTAATATTTTATTTGATATATTTAAACCTCTCCGTTTTCAACAAAAATCGACGTGATATATCTTTTAAATGAATTCCTAAAATATGGCGCTATTGTGTTTTCTTATATTTTATATTTTTAATTAATAGTATCATATCGGTTTTTTATATAAAATCGACGTGACACTTATTTTGCATGAAATACTTCAAAAGAAATGTTATTAATAAAAAGTCAGTCTATGTTTACCCAAGAGTAAGTGTATTACTTGTGCTTTTTGACATTATATTATTTGTGAGTACTAGTATGACATAGATATATGAAAATCATTTGTTGTAGTGAAAACAACCCGACAGTCATTCTTGTGGATACTATGTTATGAGATATATGCTCTATATTGTCTCTTGAGTCATTACAAATGTATGGATAAAGAATAAAGTATTAGCTTAAGAAGGCGATGCAAATTCTTGATACTTCCACGAATGCATAAATCAAAGAAGAAGAAGGAACAAAATTATAAGCTTGAACCTAGCTGGCTCGAGAATAACATCGATTGATGGATTCAAGATTGGCATTCAGAACTATTTTGAAGAACATTTTAGAAGTGAAGGGAAAAACGTCATGTCTCTGAAGTCTTTCACTTTCAACAAAGTTTCGCTTGAAGATAATACATTCTTGACTTCGGAATTTTCCGCGGAAGAAATCAAAGTCGTGGTGTGGAGTTGTGATGATTCAAGAAGCCCAGGTCCGGACGATGTCACCTTTGATTTTACTAAGGAAAACTGGGAATTGGTAAAAGGCGATTTTATACGATTCATCTCAAAAATTCAGGAACATGGGCGTATAATCAAAGGAGGTAACAATTCATTCATTGTTCTAGTTCCAAAAAACACTACAAGAAAATTAGGATTTTACGACACAAAAATTGCGACAGTTACTTAATAACCGTCGTAATTCTAATATAGGGACCCATGTCACGACGGTATACACCTACCGTCCTTACATATTTAAAAAAAATATTAAATATCGCGACAATTTTTCATTAAACCGCCCTAAAATGAATGTTGCGACGGTTAAGAAACCATCCTAAAATAGACATCACGACGGTAAAACAACCGTCGCCCCCCTAAACCTTTAAAAAACATGCAAAAGTTATGAAAGGGCACGACGGTAACCACACCCGTCGTCCCCCTAAATCCTTTACCCCGCTTCGTCTATTTCTCTTTTTATTTATTGTTCACGTATCTTTCTCCAAATTTCTTCATACTTTTGCTTTTTCTCTGTACAAACTTCAACCACATCAATTCGATGAGAACCTTAAGAAGCTTCGATGGCTTCCCTTTAAATTTGATCATCTTCTCTCGCTATTCCCAATTTGAAATCCATTTTTTTTGTGTTTTGTGTTTGGTGACGTCGTGTTGGTTCTGGAAATTAGGGCATCAAGCATAGGCAAAGCCATCACCCGACTAGCTAGGGCAGTTTCCCAGGCTCTTCCTTCTCTCGTCTGAACTTCTGAATCTCATCGCAATGGTCGCTCTCTCACTCAGGAAATCGAATCTGCTCCAGGAAGTATCAGAGTCAATCTTCTCCTTCGCTCATAAATATGTGTTCTTTTTTAAATCAGAATAGGGTGGCTGGAAGAACATCAATGGTTGTGGCACGTTCTGAATCGCGGCATCGGGAATTCGTGGTCGTAGTCGCATATCATTGATTGTCTTTAGATGTCGAATCGTCGTGAGTTATCTTCTTCTTCTTTTTTTTCACTTTTAAGCTCGATTTTTTATGCGGGGTCGTTATTCTGTTGTTAATCATTGTTGTTGTAGGTTGTTAACCAAGTGTTCGGTGAAATGCCTGAACCATGTTGTTTTGTTTTTCGGTCTTGAAATCTCTTGGTTGCATTTCCGAGTTTTTGTTATTGTGTTGTGATTGATTGTGGTTGGCAAATTGATGGAGAATTGCTGAATTTCTTACTTTATTTCTTGCTTCACTTAGACTGCAATGCCTGCCAGACTCTATCCGATGGCGTATTCAAGCTGTAATGCCTGTGCTCTCTCCCTCTATGTGGCGCTCTTTCTCTTGCCAACCACCATCTGTTCCGAATTCTTCCATTGTATCTCTTCCATTGTAGAAAACTAACTTATATTCGAATTAGAAATTTTATAAGTTTTAGTGGATGATATATTTTGTTAAATACCTATCTAAAAATTTCAAAATTAATGCATTCCTTGTGAAGTTGTGATTGATTCTTTGGAATATCAGTTGTGTTTCTCTGAACTCACCTGTTTCCTTTGAATGCTTAATATGTTTTTGCAGTCTGCACCAGTGAACATTATTGTTGGTTCTCATGTCTGGGTTGAAGATCCAACACTAGCATGGATTGGTGGTGAAGTTACTAAAATCAGTGGTGAGAACGTCCATGTTCGCACCAGAGATGGGAAAACTGTGAGTCAAGCTGTCTATACTTTAACTGCATTGGTCATTTGTGATAACTTATGATAAATATGTTCTCACTCAATTATTGTCATATTTTTATATTTTTATTCATGATATTTTTTTATGAATTCTTCTAAGTGATCATTACTATTCATAAAGTAAATTAGTGTCAAAAGAGAGTTTAATTAAGCATATAATTATTGTCAAATTTTATGGTAGGATTAATTGCAAGAGAGATCTAATATAGTTTCTCAACTCAAATTAGAAGACATGCGAGATTCAATTGAAGGTTTGGCACTGTTACTTTCTGTTGATCCAATATAGTTTCTAATTTTTACTATCTAATTCTCCTTGTTGAGTTGAAACTGTGATTCGTTTACTTATTGGATAGATAAACGTTTTATAAACACGTGCCTATGATATAATTTCTAGTTTATCATCTTTTCCATGATGTCTATGTGCCTATGATATGATTTCTAAATTATCATCTTTGCCATGATGTCTACTAGCCTTTTATCAATATGATTGACTATGCTTTTCATTTCACTCACAGGAAAATCTCCAACGTTGGCTTACTAATGCTTAGCCTCGAGACCACTTTGTGATTTTCACAAGTTTAGATACTGAGGTAAAGAGAACCCGTAACAAATTTTACAGGAGTAATTAGGGGATCTTGTAAGTATGGGTATCATCATTGAGATAACATTGAAGTTTGTATTGAAAATAGTGGTAGTGGTTAGTACATATCCAATGAATTGTTGTTGATTTTGCATGGATTGTTGAGTAGTAATCCCCCGAGATGGTTTAGGTTGAAACCTGTTTCAAAGACAACTAATAAACCGACATGAAAGGTTTCAGGATTTGATCGAGAGTTTTGGATTCTTTGTAGGTTTGGTTTTCTAGTCTATATAAATACCTAGCTTCTAGTTTCCGTGATTGATTCATATAGCTACTAAGTTTGATCTTCCATCAAACATTTTATCCTTGTTTAATATGATTTTTTCTTGTTCATATAACTTCTAGATGGGGGCATACGGGCTCTTTGTTTTTTCCCCCCTTCTTTTTGATGATTTGGAGTGATGATATATGATTTCCTGGGTAGTCGGAGGCAATCGTGGAAGAAGCTTCAGGCATGAAAAAACTTAGTTATAATTTATGTGCTCAGTTTTGTTGATGTTTTTGCTATATGTTCAAAATACAACATTGTTCTTCTATTTTGTGAGTTTAACATGTGGGTCTTTCTTTCAACTACATATTTGTTTCTTTCAATATAGATTTTTCTGATCAATATGGACAAACTCAACTCTATGAACATGTTATAGCATAAAATAATCTATGGCACTTCTGATAGTGTGCAACATGTAGAATTGTGAGCATCAGTTTATGGTGTGCGTGTCCAAACACATAACCCCACTAACTTCACATTTTAGTTTTTTTCATTTTTACATGATAAAGTTAATGCACTGTGTAAGTTTTCTCTGATGATAGGCTATAAGAGAAACATAAACTGCTACTAATTCAAAGGAAGTTGCGGAATCAAATTGAAAACCAAGGGAAACATCTTTAGATGATGTTTGAGAAACAGAAATAGATTGGTGGCAGCAAGGGTGTGTCCCCTTCTAACGCGCATTCCGCCGGCACTCTTGGACATGGTGATACCTTCTTCTGTAGACAATTTACAAATGTCAAATGATGAGCGCGACAAATTAAAATGCAACACCGAAGAAAGTTCCCAGGATGCGAAACATGAAGAGCAGTACCTCGCGGTGGAATGGCAGCTGCCGCTAGCCGTTAATATCTTTCTTTTTATGTTCTACCGAATTGTTTTTATGATTTTAGAATGTATCTTTACATGTTCCTAAATGCACATGTAAATGGACACAACTTCTGTTTTTGACATTGTGGCTTTATGCAGCTCAAACTGGTCTCAAAGGAAGATCCTTGGACGGAGAGGGTGGACTTTCTTATTGAAATAATGGTGTCCTTTTTTGAGAAGCAGCAGTCTCAAAAGGAAGCTATCAATGCTCTCCCTCTTTATTCAAATGAGCAGATTATGTGGGATGAAAGTGTTGTATCATGGACCCCAAATGCTCTTCCTCTTTATCCAAGCATGAAAGTGTTTAACATTACTCATTTGGCTTCACTTTTCCTGGGTGTTGGATCAGCTCCCTAAATGGTCTCCTATCAATAGGGTTGCTTATACTGATAGGCTCTCTGCGAGGTTTGAAAGAGAGGGTGAGGGTGTCTGCAGTTCTCACAATTCTTTATGCAATTCCTAACCTTGACCTTTTTCAGGTTAACATGAAAGGACTTGATGGAATTCAACGACCTATATATGTGGCGAAAAGGTATGTTTCAACTGATAAGTGCTTTATGGAATTCCTACCCTATTTTGCTTTTAATGCCAAGGAAACCCTGATGACTATGGTATGGTATGTATGGTGACTGGTATAGATCCCTTATGAAGGTGTATGGCTGTTTTTTGTTGGCTGCTAACATTTATTGATCAAGTTAGCTGGTGAGGCCTGATTGATCCATGTAGTAACTTATATGTTTTGAAAGCCCTCGAGGGCATTTTTGTCCTCCCAACTGCTATATAGCTTAAAGCTGTAAATAGGGTAAATATGGCACTCTGTTAATTTGAGTAAGGTGAATTTCTCGCATGAAGAGCGGGCCTTCTACAAAAAGTTGGAAGCTGATTCACGTTGTCAATTTAAAGTTTATTTCTTTTCAAATTTCTTATATTAAGCTGGTGCCTTTTGTGTGACAGGAGTTAAACTTGACAATGCAACAACTATAGCAACGTTTGATCCAAATGAGAAAACCTACAACATTAATGGAAAGGATGTGCAAGGACACTTCATGGTGGATTACATATGGCCAGTTAAACCAGACAATTACTTGGGGCCTCTCACAACCCTAGTATCTGATGCACATAAACAAGGACTGGAAGTGTATGCTTCTAGTTTTGCGAATGATTTCTTTTCAAGCTATGATTATAACTATGATCCTACTGCTGAGTACCTACAATTTATAGCGAAAGACGAATGTGTTGATGGTCTTGTTACTGATTTTCCTTCAACCGCATCAAATTCTATAGGTGAGTTGAAAACACTAGACCTTTCTTATTAACATTTTCTGCGGTGAGAGTGAAGAGATATTCAAAACTATGCTTATTAGAAGACTAGTTCAAAAGAAGATAACTGGGCTATATGGAACTGAATTTCTTGTTTTTTCAGCATGCTTTGCACTCAACAATACACTGCCGAAAAAAGGTAATAGTATTATTCTTGAACTTCTCACAACAGTCATAGAACCTTATAAATAAGATGCAAAAAGATGCTAATGCGTTTGTTTTTTGCAGGACAACCTTTGATCATTAGCAATAACGGAGCAAGTGGCGTTTATCTAGGTTCTACCAATCTTGCTTATCAACAAGCAATAGACGACGAAGCTGACATTATAGATTGCTCGGTTCAAATGACAAAAGATGGAATTTCATTCTGCTCAAATACAGCAGACCTAATGGCAGATACAACTGCTATGACTAAATTCATGTCGCGGACTTCCAATGTTCCAGAAATTCAACCAAATAGTGGAATTTTCTCCTTCGATCTCACGTGGAACGAGATCCAAAGCTTGCAACGTAATGCTTCCGTTTGACTTCAAAAATTCATGAAGAATGGTGGATAGCAACGTAATGATTATGGAACTCGCATTTTACATGATTATGGAACACACATTTTTTTTGGATATTATAATGCTTATTTGATGTTAAATATTTTTTATTGAAATTATTTTTACTATATTACAAAGTGATAGAAAATAAAACAAAAAATAATACTATAAATAAATATATTAAAGAAGAAATAATTTAAAGAAAAAAATAACACAAAAAAAAACTATATTTAAAATTTTTTACATAGATAATAATTTAAATAAAAAATATATATAATAGAAAAATAAAAAAAAATCAAGACATAAACAAAAGTCATGGCGACAGTACCGAACCGTCGTAATCAACAATTAAAAATAATCAACAAAAGTCATGACGGTATCGAACTGTCGCCATAAACAATTTAATAAATTTCAAAAGATATTCACGACAGTATCGAACCGTCGCCATCAATAATTAAAAGAAACTCAAAAGATAGTCACGACGGTATCAACCCGTCGTAAACTTGAACGACAGTTTTTGTAACCGTCGCGAAATAGGTTGGGGACACACACTTCTGTGACGGTAAAGCAACCGTCGTGGAAAGCAAATTGCGACGGTTTTAACCGTCGTAATCTACAAAAATACCTGTCGCAATCTGCCAATTTTCTTGTAGTGAAAGGAGAACCCTCAATTCATCGAAGATTTCCGTCTGATCTCCTTAATTGGGTGTATGTACAAGATCCTATCATAGCTTTTGGAAAATAGGATGAGGTGTGTAATGGTGAAGATCGTTTCGAAAAACCAAACAACACTCATTAAGGATAAGCAAATTCTAGATGGAGTCTTAATAGCTAATGAATTGGTGGAGGAAGCAAAGAGGAAAGGTAGAAAAACTATGTTGTTTAAGATGGACTTTGAGAAGACATTCGATTCAATTAATTAGTACTACCTTCAAGAAATGCTAGAAAGTATGGGTCTTAGCTTACAGTGGAGAAAATGGATGGATGAATGTCTCAGATCTGCAACAATTCCAGTTCTCATTAATGGCATCCCCACAGATGAATTTCAGGTTGAGAAGGGGCTTCGGCAAGGGACCCTTTATCTCTTTTCTTGTTTCTTATTGCGGCATAAGGCTTAGGGATGCTACTGATTAAAGCCTAAAAAATGGGTAGATTTGAGGGGTACTTTTTCGAAAATCAAGCTGAGAGCCTCACCTATCTTCAATTCGCGGATGACACACTCATAATGGGACCAAGCAGTCTTGAGAATGTGGACAACATTAAGGAAATTTTGCATCTGTTTGAATTAAGTTCTGGTATGAAAGTTAACTTCCATAAAAGCCGTCTATTTAGAATTAAAACTTTGGAATCCTGGTTGGAAGAAGCGGCGAGGGCTCTTAACTTCAAAGTGGGATCGATTCCATTCATATATTTAGGGTTATCGGTTGGTGTTAATCCAAAGAATATATCTACTTGGGATCTAGTTATTGACAAGGTGAAAAAAGATTATCTAGATAGAGGAGTCGCAATTTATCAATTGGAGGTTGTGTTGTGATCTTGCGCTCTATTGTGTCCCTGATTCCAGTGTTCTATCTTTCGTTCTTCAAAGCTTCGACATGTATTATCTCTAAAATTGAATCTCTTTTTAAACAATTTCTTTGGGGGGGGGGGGGGGGGGGGGGCACGAGAGAACTAAGCGAGTTAGCTGGGTAAAATGGGAACAAGTTTGTTTGGGCAAGGAGAGAGGAGTGATCAGTGCATTTTGATGCACATTCTTCCATGTTTGTATTTAAGCATTTCTATATTTTACTTTGTTTATTTTTATGTTTTATAATGTTATTCTAATTTAGTTTATTTTTGGTTTAAATTGATTTTCGTATTTAATTTTTCAGCTTTGGCAGCTTTCATTAAAAATTCTAACTAGAGCTACATGAATCGGATCGAGGCGTTCTAATATGCGTTGGAAAGATAAGAGAAAGAGCTACAACTTTTATGTTGGAGCCAGATGATTCAGAGTCCATCAATACCAGAAAATTCGTTGAAGTTTCTGCCTTTAGAATTATTTGTTTTTGGATCTTTTTAGTGGGTCTGGGTTATATTTTCGACCCGGTTCGTTTTGTAAGTGAAAACCCTTATTTTTTATAAGGTTTGCAGCCACTACAGTAGGGGGGAACCTTCTATTTACGAAAAATATTTTGCTTTGTACGCTTGCTATGAAGAACTATTTCCTGAAGGAAAATCCTGCTGCTTACGGATTCTATTACTTTGAGGTTATTCTAATACTAATTTAAATTCGATTTTTGTTCAATCCTTTTCTATGAAATAATTTTCTTAATTTGATTGTAATTGTTTGATTAATTCAATTGTTGTTCATAGGATGTAATTGATTAAATTTGATTGTATGCAAGTTCTTAAATTTAATTGTGTGTTATCAATTGCTTAATTAGCTAACTCGTCAAATTCGTAATTGTTTGCTCAATTTGGTAAACAAGAACATAATTTGTATGATTTTGATAAGCGCTTGTCTGATTGATCTCATAGTCAAATAAGATCGAAGCCTTTTAGGGATTGGTGTTATTATAATCGACGATAAGTTAGAACTCGAATCAGTAGGATTAGTCATTTTAGCTTATTGAATAATCACTTGCTTTAATCTATTTTTATAATTCGACCCTAAAACCAAAACCCCAATTAATTGCTACTGTTAGTTAATAAAAACAAGAATCCTCGCGATACGATACTCGAGCCATTATCGCTAAACTACTATTTTCAAAAATACTCGTTTTTGATCTGTGCGCGACATCAGATCAAATTGGCGCTGTTGCCGAGGATTCTTGTTGTTATTAACCGATATTAGAGTCATAGGTTTAGTATTCTTGCTAGTTTTTTTCTTGTTTTTTTGTTGTGTTTGTTGGTTTTCAGGATTGTAATACAGGTCGCAGTACAATGGTAAATATCCAGCCTACCAGGTAAGTTTAAAATCTACTGTTTTGATTTGCTCCGACTTTTTTCCAGAAGTTCAGAAAAAAATCGAAGAACAGTACTCTTTTAGAATACAATTCTAAAAGATTTCAACCTTCAAAATCGCAAATTCCTCTTTTTTTCTATTTTTAATTAATTTTTTACGGTTTTCATAGTGTGAAAAAAATTCCAAAAAATTCTCAAAATTCTTATTTGTCTTAATTAGATGAAATTTCGTGTTTTTGTATTTTTATAAATTTATTTTAATCATATTTCTTCTTTCGTGTCAATATATATATATAAATGGGAGACTCATTGGATAAGTTGGCTTATCTTATTAGTTTGATGGAAGCAAGAGAACAACAATCGTGCTATCAAAATCATATTCAACTTGTGATTTGTAATATTTGTTCTTCAAATTTTCATGGTAATGATATATGTCCTATGTTGTTAGATACTAATTTTTATGGTGAAACCCAAATGGTAGGAGACCTTCAAGGATAACTCTCACATCTTGAAGAGCAGCCTGTTTGGCTATATCAACAATTTCGACAAAATGCATCATTGAAAGCTGGCACAATTATATTTGGAAGAAATTATCAAGCAAATGTCTGAAAATAATAAGCAAATGACTGGAAATAATTTTCAATTTCAATAATATATGCAATCTACACTTTCATTTATAAAAGTCCAAGTTGAACAAATAATCTCAAGCGTCCATCAAATTCAAGTGAATAGGATGTTTCATGATGATGTACAACCTGTTGCATTACTAGAGGTAACACAATGTGATACTAGTCTTGATGAATTTCCAGATGAGCCCATTAAAACAATGTTTGTTTTATCTAATGAACACATAGTAAGAAACAAAAATTCAAGTGAATGCATGAAATAGATTATACCACACAATTTCTTGAAATATGATCTAGATGAATTATATACTTCTCTTGAAGTAGATAACTCTCTTGAAATTTTTACTTGTGAATGTGGTGTTTGTAATGTTTGTCATGAGATCAGTGCAGCCATTTTAGGTGAATATAGTTTGATGTCGACAACCACTTGTGCAGAAATTTTTGCAAATTCAACAACTCTTGAATTTGACACCAAAAATATGGATTTTTGCCATAAGCAACCATTGTCCGTAGCTGATTTTTTTGGTGGAAACTCTAATTAAGCCAAACAACATGGAGTTATGTTTCACAATTTATGCATCTCTTCCACCTATTTTATCAGACTCACAAGCTAAATGTTGATTTTCTATTTTTCATACTTTTGTTATTGCAGGTTTACCATATGTGCATGCTATTCCTCCTAAGCCATCAGATTTTTTTTACTAATATCCAAGTTCACTTGTTATTTACTTTTTTCATATTTCATGTGTTCGTAGTGCAGAAAGGCCTCCACCAAAACCACTAGACATGAAAGCTACATTCCACCTTGACTACTCGGGTGTGTTCTTTCTTCTCTTTCCTCTCTCTTATTTTATGTTCGTTTCTTTCATTGAGAATAATGCATGTTTTAAGTGTCGGGGAGAGAATCATCTTCTTTCTTTGTTTTTGTTTTGTTTTTGTTTCTTTAAGTGAAAAATAAAAAATAAAAAAATTACGCAGTTTTTTCCCCGAAAATTTTAGGCTATAGATTAATTTGAGTTTTGTTTGTGGAGTGTTGGGAAAAGTTTACAAGATTGGTATCGTCTTAATAGCGTAAGTCTCCTGCATATGGAAATTAGTTTGAATAATTATTATGACATAGCTTTGAATTCTCATTCTCTAACATCTCTTGAGTAGTTTGTCTTAGCAGTCGGCAACATCTAACACATCTATACGTAGGGAAGCCGATGAATATAAGTGAGTGATCCAGGTTTTTATTTGAAGAAAAATAGGGAATTCACCTTCTAAGTTTGGTAACGCTCACCCGGTCACTTAACTCAACGGTTGTGGAACCTATAAAATTTGATTATCAGATTCGTTGTTGTTTGGTTCAGAGGTTTCTGGTGCTGAACTTGGTAGGGAGAATTACGGTCCAATCCTCCGCAACTACAATTGTGTAAGAAAAGAATTATACCACTAATGTACCAGAATCCCATGCAAAAAGGATCAGATTCACTAACCGGCCTCCTTACTATGAGTGTGTGGAGATAACAGACTTAATGTGATAGCACCATAATTAATAGAGCAAAAAGGAGGATGAGTAAGTTAGCCTTTGGCATAATAACATGATTCGAATTGGGTTGTATATTCAGGAGGCTTATGACTGCACAATTAAGGAGTAGTGTTCTTACGATATCCTTAGTGTGCAAGATTAGTACCTACCAATGGAATCTTAACCGAAGAAGAGTTTGAAGCTTGGAATGAGTAGACGATGATGTTGTTGTGTTTCTTTTGATTTTAATTTTCTCGGAATGCAAAAGTTCAAGTATGGGGGAATTTGATCAGTGCATTTTGATGCACATTCTTCTATGTTTATATTTAAGCATTTCTATGTTTTACTTTGTTTATTTTTATGTTTTATAATTTTTTTCTAATTTAGTTTTTTTTTGGTTTAAATTGATTTTCATATTTAATTTTCAGCTTTGGCAGCTCCCATTGAAAATTTCATAACTGGAGCTACAAAAATCAGATCGAGGCATTCTAAGATGAATTAGAAAGTTAAGATAAATAACTACAACTTTTATGTTGGAGCTAGAAGTTGATTCGAAGTGCACCAGTACGAGAAAATTCGTTGAAGTTTCTGCCTTTAGAATTAATTTTTTTGGGTCTTTTTAGTGGGTTTGGGTTATGTTTTCGACCCAGTTCGTTTTGTAAGTGAAAACCCTTATTTTTTTTATAAGGCTTGCAGCCGCTATAGTAGGGGGGAACCTTCTATTCACGAAAAATATTTTGCTTTGTACGCTTGCTATGAGAACTAATTCCCGAAAGCAAATCCTGCTACTTACGAGTTTCATTACTTTGAGGTTATTCTAATACTAATTTAAATTCGATTTATGTTCAATTATTTTCTATGAAATCATTTGCTTAATTTGATTGCAATTGTTTGCTTAATTCAATTTCTGTTCATAGGATATAATTGATTAAATTCGATTGTATGCATGTTCCTAAATTTAATTGCGTGTTGTCGTTTTCTTAATTCACTAACTCGTCATATTCTTAATCGTTTGCTTAATCCGGTAAACAGGAACATAATTTGTATGATTTTGATAAGTGCTTGTCTGATTGATCTTATAATCGAATAAGATCGAAGTCGTTTAGGGATTGGTGTTATTATAACCAATGATAAGTCAAAACCTAAATCAGTAAGATTAGCCATTTTAGCTTATTGAATAATCACTTATTTTAATCTATTTTTATAATTCGACCCTAAAACCAAACCTTCCATTAATCGCTACCATTAGTTAATAAAAACAAGAATCCTCGCGATACGATACTCGAGCCATTGTTGCTAAACTACCGTTTTTCAAAAATACTCGTTTTTGATCCGTGCGCGACGACGAATCAAATAGGATTAGGCATTAAAAATGTGAAAACATTCAATGTAGCACTTCTAGGAAAATGGGTTTGGAAAATGCAGACAAAGGAAGAGAACTTGTGGTACGAT